TGACATTCCAGCCAAGTGCTGGCTGTTCCCTACGGCAGGATGAATGGACTTCTCATTCTGCCCACCATGACAGGATGTGAAGCTGCCACACCTTCCATCCTGTGGGTTTATTTTTTTTTTCCTGTCTGGCAGTCCCATCCTGTCCTTTGCATGTCACTGTGAGCAGCAGAAAGGGCAGTTGCTCTTTCACCACCATGCCCAGAAACTTCCTCATCTTGATATTCAGTTCCATCTCCTGCCAGGTCCACCTTCCACAGAGTGCTAGAATCCATTTCCAGCAAGCTGTGTGCTACTTTAGAGCAGGGGTGGCCCTCCCAAGCTCCCCTAGCGTGCCCCTCCTTTCCAGCTGAGAGCACACCTCTATTGGTATTTCCATTAGTGAGGATTCATTGTACAAAGTAATGGGTTTTTGCTGCAGTGTATCCACACATATACAGGTTATAGCTTTCGTCTTCTTCATCACTTTCCCAACCTTGTTCCCCGAGCCACTCTCCCTCCTCTTCCCAAACACTCCTACTTTCATGCTAATCTGTATCTAAACACACGTATATACATGTTTTAAGTATGTATAATACATAGTATACATATTGAATACGTGTTTAATATATTGTAGAGGTTCTACAGATAAGTGTTAAGAAAAATCTTCTCTGCCAGCACACAGAAATCCAATCAGGCCAAATTAAACCGAATTAAAATGCCCATGTTTTAATAAATGCAACACTCTCAGGTGGCCAAGAGCATGGCAGGGGAGAGAGAAAACCAGGGAGCACATACAAAACCCGGGACCACGTGTTCCTCCTCTGGGCACCCACTTAAATACCCTGTGGGAGTGGTCTGGGGACAGGACCCAGGGGGAGGGGTCAGGACCTGGCATGCTGGGATTTGGAGTCCAGACCAGTGCAACTGCCAGGCCAGGGAGAGTCCAGACCAATGCAACTCCCAGGCCAAAGGGGGCTGGGATGGATGCCAGGGATGGATGCCAGGGATTGGGGTGATGCTCCCAACTTAACATCACAGTAAGAGAAAATGAATCCCTGTAAAATTTATATTTCCAGTGCATACAGCAATTTTACATTGCTTCCAATTTTACAGCCTTTGCAGTCTGTAACAGTTTCAAAGCCATCTACACCCCATTGCCAGTCCTAACATCTGTGTTCATTGGGATTCTTGATGGGAAGAAACAACAGGAAAACACACGTGCTCACATGCATATATGTGCGCATACACACCACACACACACACGCACATACACACACACACACAAGAGGTCAATGTCAATGAAATGTACAGTCGTTTTTGAGTCAGGGTCTCACTACATAGTCCTGGCTAGCTTCGAACTCACAGAGGTTCACCTGTCACTGCCTCCTTCCTGAGTGCTGGGGTAAAAGGGTGTTCTATCAAAATGTCAGACAAAACAAAACTCCACTTATAATAATCTAAAGAAACCACTTGGAAGAAACTCAAATTCCTCCAGGGTCAGCACTTCTTGGAACCAAGATACATAACCATGGTCTCAGTCTCTGCTCCAGATTGCCTCTGCTCTTCAGCTGCCCTGAGTTAAGTCAGCTAGTCCTGTAGAATAATGAGAGGTGGAGCAGAAGATCCACACTCACTAGAAGTAAAACCCCAGGGGACCCTGCTTAAGAATAGCCTTCTGCAGAAGTAAAACTTTCCACCTTGCTGAAATACTTAGGACTGTGTGATCATTTTCTTAGACCTGTCTTAGGGTTACTACTGCTGTGATTAAACACTATGGCCAAAGCAACGTGGGGAGGAAAGGGTTTATCTGATTTCATCAAAGGAAGTCAGAACAGCCACTCAAGCAAGGTAGGAACCTGGAGGCAGGAGCTGATGCCAAGGTCATGGAGCGGTGCTGTTTACTGGCTTGCTCCCCAAGGCTTGCTCAGTCTGCTCTTTTCTAGAACCCAGGACAACTAGCTCAGGGGTGGCACTACTCAACAGTGTAGTGGGCTGTCCCACGTCAATCACTAGTTTCAAAAATGCCCTACAGCCAAGTCTTATGGAGGTATTTTCTTAATTGGGGTTCCCTCCTCTCTGATGATTTTAGCATGTGTCAAGTTGACATAAAACTACTGGGGGCACATGACCCCAGGCCCATTTCTTACAGCCAGGCATATATATCTAAGCATACTAGTGAATCTCCAAACTGGAGAGAGATTCATTTGTACAAAGAGAGATGGAGGGGGAGGGAGGGAGAGAAAGAGAGAGAGGAGGGGACCTGGCTCAGCTTCCAATTTTACAACTTTGAAGTGGTGTGAATGTAAAAGGCATTCAGCACCAAGTGTCCTTCAGATTTGGGGATTTGATCTCTTTCTGGGGCTGTGACACGGACTCAACAGCTGGACAGCAGCTTGAGCTCAACTCCCATGCAGCCACAGGATCCCAGGGGTAAACCTTGGCACTGCACCATGCTGCATGGCTGAGCCCTAATGTCAGCCGACCAAACATATCCAATTCCCTTCTGACCCACCATGTTTTCAGCTTGTGGTGCTCATCTTAAGTCAGCAAGTATCTTTAGGGTGTGTGTAGAACAAACCTTTCTATGGATCATGTGATTATGGGGTGGGTAAGTGGAAATCTGTAAAGAAGCCAGTGCTGCAGCCTTGATGATTGCTTCTTTCTAGGGAGACCCTGGTCCATTGGGTCCCCTTATGTTGCTACCTGACATCAGTTCAGAGTAGGTGTGTATAACGCTGAGCCTGCATCTCACGGTTTTGTTGTGGGTGTACTTATGCTGGCTTCATCCCAGAGGCTCTAGAGCAGTGTAGGCATTGGCTAAGGGATCTCTGGCTTGGCCTCTTCGGGGATCCAGGAGCATCCACTTGGTGTCACCTGCCTGGCTGTTGCTGAGTATCAGGTGCAGAACCACAGAGCTATGCTGGGATGGCTTCCAGTCAAGGCTAATTCTTTCTCTCTTCTTTTCCCCTTTCTTCCTGACCTCACTCCCCTAACTCTATTACAGGGCGTACTGTAGCCCAAGCTGGCCTCAGACTCACTAAGTAACCAAGAGTGACATTGAACTTCAGATCCTCCTGCCTCCATCTCCTGTGGTTATAGCTTGTTCCACCACTCTGCTTTAGAAGGTGCTAGAAGTGGAGCTCAGGCATCCTAGGCAGGCTCTCTGTGTGCATGGGCTGTGTGCACGTCTCGGGGTGGAATAGCTTGTGCTCAGGGAGCATTAAGAGCATTTAGAGGCTGTCTTAATTAGGTTTCTATTGCTGTGAAGAGACACCATGACTATGGCAACTCTTATAAAGGAAACATTTAATTGAGGTGACTCACAGTTTCAGAAGTTCAGTCCATTATCGTCATGATGGGGAGCATGGTGGGGAGCATGGCAGTATGCAGGCAGACATGGCACTGGAGCCGAGAGTTCTTACATACTGACTCAGAGGCAACAGAAAGTTGACTGTCTGTCACACCGAGGGAAGTTTGAGCAAGAAAGAACTCAAAGCCTGCCCCCACAGTGACACACTTCCTCCAACAAGGCCACACCTCCTAATAGTGTCACTGCCTTGGGGAGCCATTTTCCTTCAAACCACCACAGAGGCCTCACTTTCCAGTTTGGGGGACTTGTGTCTAATCAGAAAGGTGGGACTATGAGTTGCTTTTAGCATTGCTGCCACAGAGCGCCTGACAAGAGCGCTGTAAGAGGCAAGGCTCAGTTTTGACTCACAGGTTGTGGATAAAGCCCATGGTGATGGGGAAGGCATGGTACCCGCAGTCAGGAAACAGAGATGGATGCTGGTACTCAGCTCACGTTCTCTTTTTTGTTCTGTCAGAGGGATTCCAGCCTATGGGATGGTGTAACCCACATTCATGGTGTGTCTTTCCACCTCAGTTAACCCAATCTAGAAACTCCCTCAGACAGGCCCAGATGCTTGTCTCCACAGGGGTTCTAGGTTCCCCGTCAAGTTGACAATCGAAATTAGCTCTCACTAAAGAACTTGGGTGTGGGTGGGGTAGCAGCTCAGCCATCTGAGTTCATAGGGCACAATCCTTAGTGGGGAGTTCACAGACTGAGCTCTTGTTGAACACTCTCCCCAACCCCACCTCTGCTGCAGACAGTCCCTATGCCTCTGGACAGACAGTCCCCATGCACAAAGGCCACAGTGGGACAAGAATTTCCTGATGAGGGCTGTTGAGTACTGATGGACGTGCACCCCTTGGCTCAGGCCTTTGTGATGACTACTTTTGTCAGCTTGACACAATCTAGAATGACCTGGGAAGAGAGGCCTTAACTGATTAACTTGGTCTGTGTGCCTTATCTTGATTGTTAACTGATATGGGAACTCCTAGCCTACTGTGGGCAGCACCATTCCCTGGTCAGGGACCCTGAATAGTGTTAAAAGTCAAGACATTGAGCTCAGTAGAGACAAGCAAGCGTCCATTGCGTTTATTCTCCTGCTCCTGATTGTGGATTGATGCTACAAAGTTCCTGCCTCAGTTTTCCCCTCAGTAAGAGGCTGCGTGGAAAATATAAACAAAAAAATGTATTGTCTTTTCTATCAAATAATTAAATAAGACAAAACTACATTGAAAAATTATAAAGAAGGCTCTTGGCAGAAATTCAGATTCTGCCTTGGTTAGCATTTCTTGAAATCAAAGTGTATAATAAGCTTTATCTCTCCCTAGAAACTGCACTATTAGCCAGGCAGGAGAGTATGAATGTGAAGCTGTGCTCTGGCCACTTGGGTAAGGCACAGGATCCCTTTATATTAGGAATAAATATAGGACCCTGTTGCTTGCTTCCGGAGGTACAGCTTTTACTCAGCTGAGTACTTTGGATTGTGTGGTCATTTTCTTGAGACCCATTTCTTACAATTGTAACCTAGAATTGTAAGCCAAATAAACCCTTTCTTCTCTGAGTATCCGTCACAGCCACAGACATGAAATGAGGACAGCTTTTGAGAACAGAAGCATGCAGAAACCCATGCTTGTGCAGCTGACATTGAAATCTGTGATTTCTCGCTCTGCAGGTGGCAATAATAGCGGGGAACTTTGAACTTGCAGAGTACATCAAGAACCACAAGGAAACAGACATCGGTGAGTAGTCTTGGTGAGAAGCCACAGCCGTTGCCATCTGAGATTCTCCTGGCGCTGCTGCAGAGCCAGCTCTCAGCAAAACTTCCCAGAGGCACGGGCACCAGCGTGCCTTGGGAGCCCTTCCCTGATAGTGGGAGCATTGTGAAGACCTTGGGAACTGTGCAGTGTGCCTCCCTTGAAGAGTCCCACTCTCCTTTCTCCTGACAGTGCCTGCTACAGGGACATCTGAATTGTCTAGGTCCTCAGAAGCAGGGATGCTTAATTCTGCTGGGGATTGGTCTAGGGTTCCCACTTGATTCAGATCTCTTGATTTTCCCCAATATTGATTTGAAATGCTTGCCTGTCACTGTGCGTTTTTGCAGACAGTGAGGGTCTAGCAACACTGGCGAGTGATGCTGATCCTGGGGGAGGTGGTGCGTGGGGGCATCTCCATACCTTCCTCTCGAGTTTGCTGTGAGCCCCAAACTGCTATAAAACCAGTCTTTTTAAAAATCTACAGAAACAAGTCAGGGAATCTGTCTGGGTACCAATCAGGAGACGTGGGAGGGGCAGGAAACACATGGGGGAGCAGGAACCACATGGGGAGCCGGCTTAGATGTGCTTGTTGGAAGGCACACAGACTCATGTGTAGCTAATGGGTGATGACTAAGGGGAGAAAATGTGAGGTCCTCTCTCCCACCCTCCCGTCACCTCTGCTTGGTGTCCCCCTCCCCTTTCTAGTACCCCTTGTGCCAACCAGGAGGGCCATCTCTGGGGCTCCTCCCTGCTCTAACCGCCCTACCATGGGCTGGGCCCAGTCTTACACAATGGATGAGCCAGCTGGCCTGCGCCCTCCAGCACTGGGCTTCCACAGGACCTGCAGCGGGGAGCAGTCCCACTGGACCAGCAGTGGTGAGCCCTTGAAGGTGGAGTTGCCCCATTGAGGGGCTCTGGGATGGGGCTCCTTGGGGCCTTGTGAAGAAGCAGATGGCATCTGCCTCTCACTGCCTGTGCCCTCGGTCTGCTTTGGGTGTCAGGGGTGAGCGACACCATGTCTTGCTTTCACATCTTTGCAATGTTGAATGTGTGTCTTGCATCGAATGTGGCTGGGACCTACCTTGCACTGGGGAGGTTGGATCATGATGTGCAGTCAGGCAACTGGTTTGCGTCACCCTGCACCCTGCCCTGAGCATCAGCATTGTTAGAGGAGGGATGTGTGTATAGCTCAAACCAAGCAGAGTCCTAGGTTCTCAAGGTATTCTCTATGCTTGCCGGCCTCAGCCTCGTACTAGCTGCTAGCAAGCTGCTAGTGTCCTACCTAATACAGATATCTTGTCCTGCTCACATATATACAACTTCACCTAGGGCAGAGGTTATCAACCTATGGATAGAGACTTTTATGGGAGGTGTCGCATATCAGGCAGATATCCTACATATCAGATATCTACAATACAATTTCTAACAGTAGCAAAATTACACTTATGAAGAAGCAATGAAATAATTTTATGGTTGGGGATCACACGAGAACTATATTAAGAGGCCACAGCATTAGGAAGGTTGAGAACTACTGACATCGGATACCAAGTGAGTTCACCTGCAGAAACAGTTGCCCCGTTCACAGGTCCTAGATTCATGTTCAGTCTCGGGAAAGATGGCAGGCCTGGGAATTTATCCCCATAGTGTTCTGTCAGATCAAAGTCAGTGTTATTCCAGTGAGCAGGGCACCTCACGGATGCGGTACAATTGATACTGTTCTGTAGAGGTTGGGAGGTAAAGAGTCCCTGCTGGGGCTAAGGAAAGGGGAGCTTTGACTGTTGCCAGAGCCCCAACAGGACCCCAACAGGAGCCTGGTATTCTAAGACTACAGCCTGCTGCAGGGAGCTGGAGACTCAAGCTGTCTCCTTCTGCTCGCAAAGTCTGTGCTGCCCTTAAATGTCCACAGGGACCAGAAATACAAGGGGTCAGAAATGGCTGGGTCAGAGCTCACTGCCTCCAATATGGTCTTTTCTGGTTTGCCAAGGAAGACCTTGGCAAATTAGTGGGTTCATAAGCGTTCTAACCCAGGCTCTTTAGAAGGTGGCGACCTCAGAGACTGATGGTTTCTGTGTCCCCTCCCTCACCCCAGGCTCTAGGAATGGTGTGACAAGGACTGTACCCCCCATAGTAGTCCTATGAGTTGGAGATTGGTGGCTGCTTAATGGGAAAAGACATGACTTTTCAGAAGATAAACCTTCAGTGCGTGCATATTGTCACTTAGACTTTTACAATGCCGCCGCCTCCTCCTGAGTCCTGGTCATTATTTGTTCTAGATGTTTTTTGCTATCCCACCACCCCCAAACCCATCCAGTCTTCTGCCAGGCTGACAATTGATCTTTGAGGAGAGCTTGGGAGCCAATCCTTCCTCTCCTTAGTGGTCACTATTCTCCACCCGCCGGCATGAGAGAGCTTTTGGTCTCCCTCGTCAGCGTTGCACAGTGTGTGTTCAGTATGGGATGAACTTGGTTTCCAGAGAGCTTGTGTGGAATGCAGACACCCTGGCAACCACTGGAGGCTGACCCCACAGGTCCAGGTGCCCCTGAAATCACTGTGCTGAAATCTTCTGGCAGTTTTGAACTGGGCACCCATCTTTGTGTCTCAGAACCCACCCGGGCATGCATTCAAACAATTGGATTGGCCACATGTCAGTTCCCATAGATGACAAATGACAGCTTTCTGAGAGGTTTAAAATAATAAGTTTATTCTGCCGTTCTGGGAGACACCAGGTCAGGATCTAGGTGCTGGTAGCTAGGGCCTTCCTAGAGGCTGCAGAAGGGTTTGTTCCAGGCTCGTTCCACTGCTAGGTGCTGCTGGTGGTCTTTGGCCTCCATGGGTTTGCAGCACATGGTTGTAGCCTCTGGTTTGTGGTAACCTGACCTGCTCTGTGGATTGAGATTGTTAACTTTTTAGAATTATGGACGCCATCCTCTGTGCATGTCTGTGAGTAAGATTCTGGATATGGCAAGACCACCTTGAGTGTGGGCAGCAGTAATCCCTTGCTCTGGGGGTCCAGACTGGATAAAAATGAGAAACCGATCTGAGCATGAGCATTTGTCCCTCTCTGCTTCCTGACTGTGGATGCATTGTGACCAGCTGCCTCATGCTCCTGACGCCATGCCTTCCCTGTCACGACAGCCTGTGTCCTCAGGCTGTGAGTCAAATAAACCCTGCTTCCTTAAGTTACTTCTTGTCAGGTGTCTGTCACAGCAATGAGACAAGTCACCACCACCCAGTATGTCTCAACTACATGCCTTGTCTTAGGACGCCAGTCTGCTCCTGTAATCTAAGACCACCTTCCACTGAAGGTCCTTAAGTGGACCATTCCTGAGAGGACCCATTTCCAAGGTCACGACTATAGGGGCTTGGACCCATCTTTTTTCTTCTTCATGACATGTTCATTGCTTTATGGCTACCTGTCTCTCGGTCATTGCCTCTTCCAGGGCAACAGTATTGGACTCTGCCTGCCCCACAGTGCCTACCCCACCATGCCCAGTAGTGTGTGCTGAGTGAATGACCCTCCCCCATGCTGTTCATCCAGGGCCAGCCCCTCTGTCAGCTTCCTTTCTCAGCACAAAACCCTGTTTCCATGCTGATCTTAGGCACTGAATGGGTGGAATGCACTCTGTGGGTGGTCCTGAGCCTCAGTGTTAACAATCTTTTTGTTGTGTATTTCTGTGTGTCGATGGTTGATGGTAAACGGACCTCTGTCCTCATGCATGTGGAGATCAGGGGACCACTTTGGGTGTTGTTCCTCAGGAATCATCTACCTTTTGTTTGAGACAGGGACTCTCCCTGGCCTGAAAGTTCACCAGCTGACTGAACTAGCTGATCAAGGACCCTCCCGTCTTTGCCTGCCTTGTCACCATCACTGGGATCCTGAGCGCGAACCCCTGCACCTGGCCTTGTACACGGGTTCTAGGGATCCAAACTCAGGTCCTCACACTTTGGGCTGAGCCATTGCCCTTGCCCTTCTGTGTTACAACGTCATATTTTAAGCTCTACTACCACAAAGAGGAGAAAGAAACCTGTCCCTAAGTGTGTCCCCATTCCTGGGTCTGCCAACTCTCACCACACCGCTCACAAGCAGAGTCCTGGGTGTAGCGTGGGACGGAAACGCAGTCCTGGAGGAATCTCAACCAGAAGGAAAGGAAGGTAATCTCCCCGCCTGTGCTGGGTCGTGTCAGGGCACATGTCGGAATTAGGATAGTCTGAAGTCCTCACATTTCCTAGTTGGGGGTCACTAAAAGTGGGTAAATACTCCTCTGCCTTTTCTCATGGTTAATCAGGGAAATCCTTCCTGTTAAGAAGTCAGATTGTCCCTGCTGCTTTTGAAGGGAAAAGTCTGTGTTTTCCACACTTGCTAGTGCACTTCTGGGAAATCAGAGCACTTAGGACATGCAGATGTGGCTTTCGCGGAAAGCCGCCCTAACCCTGTGGTCAGAGCCATCTGGCGCATGGATACCTAGAGGTCCGCAGAGTTCATGTGGTCGCAGCTTGTCTCCCCAGCAGGCATGGCATCTTAGCGTGCGCATTGATGTGCTAGCCTGTCACGGTGTGCGTGCTGCTCTTGTCTGATTCTGCGCTGCGTTTTTTTTTAAAGTCTCCCCCCCACCCCCCGTAAAATATTAAACGTGACCTCTGATCAGGTTGCTGTATCTGCCAGCTGGAAGGAAGTGCTGGCTGGGAGAGGCTGGGAATAGCGAAGTTAATCCCTGCTTGCTGTCACCCACAGTATACTGTGGCTGGGCAGATGAGCCGAACCAGCTTGAGGTGCCTTGACCACAGAGTACTTAGGATGACTTCTATAGGATGGCTTCCCTTAAAAGCAAGGCCAGGGGGGAGCTGGGGAGCCCACGTCCGAAATAAGCATGCAAGTATTAAGCATGTGGCACGCTGATAAGCTGCGAACCCGGCTAACCTGTTTTCCCCAATCTTTGCTGGTTTTGTTCTTGCCTGGCTCTGAGGGGAGATGCGCGCTGTCAGAT